CACTCGGGCACAAATCCCAAATTGCCGGCCTGCACATTAGGCTAGCCAAGGGGATGCCAGTGGCAACGGCAACTTCCATGTGGGACCGCTCCATCCTGAAAGCGTAATAATATGTAGACTGGGTCACGACACAGATGAGCTACATCATGCACAGAATCTCCAAGCCACCACCAGAAACTCTTGGCAGTATCCACCTGTGGATAGCTCAGTTGGTAGAGCATAAGACTCTTAATCTCAGGGTTGAGAGTTCGAACCCCACATTGGGCAAAGCATTCCTGCCTTGCAGGGGGTTGGACTAGATATGACCCTTGTGGTCACTTCCAACTCTATAGTTCTGTGATTTTATCCTCTATAGTAGAGCAGGGGTCCACAAACTGTGTTCCGCAAGCTTCATTCAGGTGGTCTGTAGCGTGTCTGTGAAGAGCACTTAGGTTCCATGGAATTCAAATGGTAATATGAAAAAGCACATTATTAATAAAAGAAGCAACAAAAATACAATTTACAAAATCATACAGCATTCTGCACAATGTATGACAATTGCTGCAGTAGGCTGAAAAGAATCATTTAGAAGTCCTCAGTAGTTTTCAAGCGGTCCATGGGGGGGATTTTTTGGGGGGGATCCACTGCATTAGAGGCTTTGCAAGTGATGCAGAGGATCTGCATAGTGAGCCACTCAGCATGTTGGCTTGCATCCTCCATTTTAAGTGTTGCTCCTCATTTGCTCCTCTGCCCATGAGGGGAGGAAGGAGGTATCTCCTCAACTCTCCCTCTATCTGGACCCCCCTGCAACATACCCCACACTATTCTCACCCCTTATTCCTAGGAACAAATGCTGGTGCTGGGCACAGGGGATTGCAGAAGGAGAAGGAAGGGGGAAAGCCTTGCTCTGTGAACAGAGCAATTGCCCCTGGCATGGAGCAGATTCCTGTGTGGTGTGTAGCTCAGCCTTAAACACTCCTTGGACATTGTTCTCCTTCAACCATAAAATGGCAAGAGAACATTGAGAAATTTGTGCTGGCTGCTCTTTAATCAATATCCTTCTCCTGATGCTTGAGCACAAATGCCTAGGCATCTTCTAGATCAGTGAATTTCAAATTTCATACTCATCTAGGAAGCTTTTCTTCACAGATTTGTCTGCTGGGGCCCTTCGGTGTGTGTTTGCCATGGAATCCCTGTGCATTGGCAAGGATTCTGGGACTCATTTAAGGACAGTCTCTCGATTTGCACAGTGCACTGACCAGTCCTATATTGTCCCTTGCTAGAGTCTCATGTGAATAGATATTGCATCCTGCAACAGGCATAGTTCTTGTCTGCTGCTGCACATTGAGTGGAAAAATCAGTAAGGGTAAATAAACGATCTGCTTGACTATGGTTATTTATTTTATTAATGGATTTTCCAGCCATCTTTCAGAGCACAGCCCTCCCAATGCTTTAAACAGAATAAATTAAACAACACAAATACCTCCACCCCCAAACTAAAACGCTACACTTAAACAAAATGCTACACTTAAACAAAAAGGTATTCAGAGTGTTGAAAGGCCACTACAGATGGGGCCATATGTACCCCTCTGGAGAGAGAAAGTCATAGGTGTGGGGACACCACTGGAAAGGCCTTGTCCCCAATACCCATCAGCCTGATGGGCCATTTCAGAGGGCCAGAGAACAGGGCCTCTGAGATTGACCTTAAGATCTGGGCAGACTTGCATGGTAGTTTTTCAAATAACATGGTCCCCAACCTTTCATAGAATCATAGCATTGTAGAGTTGGAAGGGACTCTGAGGATCATCTAGTCCAACCCCCTGCAATGCAGGAATATGCAGCTGTCCCATATGGGGATCAAACCTGCAAACTTGTACTATGCTGTAACCAGCTGAGCTATCCAGGCTGGCAGGTTTTCATGGTATAAACATTAAAACCATTACTTAAAATGACCAGTCTTCTCATTGGGAAAGCCTTTGATAAGCTGCACAGTTCTTGGGAACAGAAACGAAAATTTCTTCATTTGGACTGGAGTGTTATTTGATGAGGTGAAGGGGTAGGCAGGGTGACTGTGTTACAGAAAGCCTTTTTAAATTTATTTTTGCATAGCGTTGCCTTTATTCAGATCTAACAAGAATTATGCACAAGATACTTGCTCTACTGCTCCCTTATTAGTGCCTCCTTTTTAACAGCATGGTGGGTTGCAGCTGCTCATCTGACCTCTGTTCGTTTGCATTGCTACTGCTTACTGGGAGGCAGTGGAGGAGGGACAAAGAGGCAGGGAGTTTGTGCCTTGCAAATGCACAGACAGGAGCACCTGATTGGCTTTGCTGGTGCATCTGCACTGTGACAACCTCGCTGCTGCCTTGCCCCTTCCCCTCTGCCTTCTGGTATGCAGCAGTGACACGACCAATGGCCCCACTGCACCATCCACTACTACCTTTTGGGGTTTGCTTTATAATGTGATAGATTTTTTTGGGCCAGCCCTGTTTGAGTCTATGCCAAATTTTTGCTCTTATGAATAGATTCATCATATGCCCAGATCGCTACAAGCCTGTCATGGGCTGCGTTAACTGTTTTTGTACACAACCGTTGACAGGTGTGCTGGTGACCTAGATGCTTGGTGAACTTATTGCAGAAACTAGTGACTGCATACTCATTCAAACTGGATCAGTGCTCTCTCTCTCTCTCTCTCTCTCTCTCTCTCTCTCTCTCTCTCTCAGAAACAAGCTCCCACAAAAGATTGTTCGCTGGCCTTAATGTTTGAATTTCAAATGTTGTAGCCATAGGGGGTAGAATTCACTTTAAGAACCCCTTAAATAGGTCACAATTTGTGAAGCAATACTGCTTACAGATGTAATAGAAGAGAGAATCAAGACACCCATATTTTCAAAATGTTGATTAAAAATGAAATGTTGCTCAATGTGTACAACAGCTAAAAAAATCAGTGTGGGAAGATGTCGTGGTTCAGCAAGGTCCGTTCTTGGGGTCCACTTGGAAGATTTTGTACTCCTCACAACAACAACAGAAAACAGGTAACATTTTTTAAATAGGAGGCTTTAAACATTAAACATGGATAGGCTTGTTTAATGTTTTTTGTTTAAAAATAAAGGAGTTAGTTAATCCTGTTGAAAATTGTAGAGAAATTAATTTAAAGCAAGCATACCTTTTTGAATGTTGTAAAGAAATAAGGGAGAAGCTTGAGACATGTATTATTTTCTCACAATCAGGCATGCCATATTTTCTACATCTAGATATGAAATGAAACATTCTAGGTACCGTATTTTTCTGTCTATAAGACATCCCCAGACACCTCCTATTTTGGGGGACTCCGATTTAAGAAAATGTGGGGAGATCTATCCGTTTATAAGATGCCCCCAAATTGTGGACATTATTTTTTAGGGGGGAAATCTAGTCTTATACACAAAAAATACAGTATATATGGCAGCTAGCTGACAATTCAAACCTGTATATACATTCCCATTTGCTACATCCTGTGTGCTTCCACTGCTGGTTTGCGAAGCAGTGTATGCACAACCTTAGCCACAATCCATATCTATCGTGTAGTTTCTTATGGGAGTCTGCATTTTGATGCATATTCCCGCTAAACCAGCTTTGTTCCTTATTGAGAAAAAGAACAATGTAGCTGCACTGTAAGCCATTAAATGTGTACATAGCCTGCATGGGCAAGATGTCAAGGTTCAGGGAGGTTAGAAGATCTGCTGGCTGAGGAGCTATAGCATTTGATGAAAGCCAGGCTATATGACATATGACAGTGCAGCAACAGTTTCATTGAGATTTTGCTCATTTCAGATTTGCTAGTGGAATGGCTGAAATGGAGTGGAGTCATGGGTGAGATGTGTCTGGCACTTAAAACAGATCCTATACCAACAACCATGTCACTGTTGACAATACCACTTTCTATTAGTAGCAGACTTGGTATAGTGGAAATTCCTCTTCCATTGACTTCAATGGGGAGGTGGAAATTAAATAAAAACTAGCCGTCCCTGTGTCAACAGTTTGCCTGCCATGTTGTAACATGGATATGGTGTAACTTAGCACCCACAGCACCACTATAGAGAAACCCTATAGAGAGACCATAACTCAGACAACAAGATACATGATATGGGGTCTATATCTTTCTGATCTCAAGTCATGCATACTCAGAGCTCACAAGGGGGGAACTTCAGGGATGGAAAGCTATGGAGAAAGAGCACAAAATAGCCTGGCCTCACAACACAGATAGGAACTTGATTACATTGCCAACACTTCTCTGGCTAGAACCCAAACAGCAAGGGACTGCAGACACGAACATACAACACCTCTCCAACAAATGGGGGTTGCTAGGAGGGCTGAGCACCCCACACAGGTAAGAGGCAGCACATGGCACCAAGTATAAGTGTTGCAAATGTTTTCGACATCTCCCCTGGATCTTGGGTGAGAGTCAGGAGGCTGAGAGGGAAAGAAAAATGAACCAATTCTAGGCTATATTTATTAGTAGCTTTGCATAAAGTAGCATTTTCACATTGAACTGTATATTCTTGCAATGTTTGTTGTTGTTTAGGTTGTCTTCTGTTGCTTTCATTTCCTGTCTACTTGCCTGCTGTGTAAGTGCACTCACCACATGCTGGGTGCACCTGCCATCTTCTCTCCTGGATCAAGTTCCGGGAAAGCCTCTACTTCAGGCATTCAGCAGAGCTAGATCTGGACAGTATCACCAGGTGGCCCTGGGTGCCAGTGAGGAAGCCCAGTGGCAGAGCAAGCCAGTCGGGCGCCTGGGGTGGTCCATGTGCCCTGCACCCAGGGGCAGGGCCAGCCGCTCACAGGACGGGGCGAGCCGGGGCAGGACAGCTGAGGGGGAGGCGGTGGGCAGACCGTTTGGGGCAGGAGAGACATGTGGCTTGGGCACGCTGCAGGCCCCGCGGTGAGTGCTGCCCGGCATTTTGTCACCCCTCTCAGTGGTGACACCTGGGGTGACCCACCCCCACCGCACCCCCTTCCACCACCCCTGAGGAAGCCACAGTGCTTCCTTCTCAGAGTTGTTTCTCAAGAATAGAATAGTACGCAGAAAAGCACGTAAAAGGTACCCAGTTGATGTTTGAGCAGAAAGGGTGCTCAGAAAATGACAACTAAGTAGGCTGTTCACCTCTTATATGCGGGGAGTGGGGATCCGTGTATGTGTGTGTGCATGATGTGTCATTCACTAGATAGGGAAGGAAAGCAGCGTTCGCCTCGCATCTGAAAGATTTGCATCCACTCCTATTTGAAGACACGCCTGGGAACAGCCTGAGTTGGCTGGCTTTACAGATGCTCTTGAGGCATAATCACAGGTGGCCTGAAATGCAGGGGAGGGAGGCTGCCCCTGGCCCACCTAAATTGCACCCCTGCTCAGCTGGGTCAAAGGCAGGGTTTGGAGGTGAAGAAATGCCACCCCCTCCTATCAGCTTGAATCCGTTTAAAACAAATCCTGCAAATAAAAAAAAAAAAAGGTAAAAGTCATTCTGGAAAGCAGTTCTATAATTTTCATTCCTATTTTTTAACCACCGGTGTTTTCCCCTTGCAGAAGGAAACTTTACAAATAAATTGGCTACAGAAGCAACCCTCTGTGCAAATTACAAGGGATAAAGGAAAGAGGAAGGCAAGAGCTGCAGCAGGACTGTACAAAGAAAGGCAGAAAGGAGCACGGGAGATGGTTCATTGAGCAGGTATGCAGGAAAACAGGGTCCTTGTCTGCTTTGGGCTATAATAATCTTCCATTTTAAATACTGCACACAGAGGAGCTGTTTCCACAGTTCTCACTGAGCTTAATTTGGAAACCTTCCTTGCCTTAAAACACTCCACTGCTGCCCGTATGGTCTTATCTAGAGGACCTGGCCATGCCTCAACTGCATTTTAGCCTTCACAGGATGCTCTTCCAAGTTGTTATCCAGTCCAGATGATATATTGGATGGAGAATGTAGTCTGCTGAATGATGTGCATTCTGGCCTATGAGAGAGGAGGAGCATCCAGCCTGGAAAGAGACGTTAATTTTAATTTATGCAGGGCAACAATGCTCAACACAGTACATTCTGCTCTTTGTTTCAAGGAAATTATTTGGCCATATTTTACGTGGCTGAAGAGGGTCTCCGAGTGTCAAACTCGGGCAGCACCTCCTGTTGCAGCCCATTTGGAAAAGATGAAAAGACGACAGATGTCAAACTGTCTCAGCTAGGGAGGCCAATTGATGATATTTTCTTAAAGAAATGTGCTAACAAAAATGACAAACTATTAATTGTGCCCTTCCTTTTCCTTTCTTGCTTTGCAGAAAGGGGGCGGGGGGGAGTTAGGACAGCTGGCATTGCAGCTCTATCTACCACAAAACAAGGAAGCTCGAAAGGCTGTCAGTCACAGATGGCTTAATTAGTCCTCAGAGGTAGTGCAATTAGACCCTTCCTTCAGATTCAAGTTTTCCTCAGTAAAGATCATTCCAAAGCTAATAATACATAAAAGAGGAAGATGAAAAGGAAACTAAGAAGAAGAAGGAGAAGGGGGAGGAGGAGAGAAAGTGGAGAGGGGGCAGTGAAAAAAGTAGAAAGCACTTGGGCAAGGAGTTCTTAGCATATAATTATTTCTTGAGCATTTCCTTTTCTCCACGGCTCTAAAGCAATTCAGAAGAACTGGTGGATGTTGCATGGAGAATGAACGCAAATTGGCTTGCTTGAAATCACAGCTTGTGGAACCTCTCAGGCAAAAATCTGCTTTAGGAGAGGAGTTTTTGAGGGCCTGTGCTGTCATCCAGGAGACAGCAGCCCCTTTTGGGGTGTTTCATGGGTGGCGGGAGATGGTACTATTGGTTGCACATGGGATGTGGCACCCCAGGCCACACTGGTTACATATTTGGAATAATGCTTGACCCAGCATGGGCATACCCAAGGGTGGATGCAGCCAGAGGAAGCTTGAGCAGAAAGCAGAAGGGACTGGAGCTCATTTTGCACACAATGCAGAGCCAGGTTTGTCACTCAAGAGAGAGTCGTACCTGTGTGAGATGCATATTTGCAAGTGTATTTGTATTTGTTTCTTTCAAAATGTTAGTTATACACTTGAAACATCTGAGTACACATAAGTAAGAGAAAGCTCTTGTCTTGGGTAGAACTCAGGTGAAGTTTGCCACAAAGGGATGAGAAAAACTGAACCAGCCCTTTTCCTCAAAACAAAGATATGGTTGGAATGAGCCTTCTCTTTACTTGCATCTAGTTACCACCAGTGGCGTAGCGTGGGGGGTGCAGGGGGGGCTGGCCGCACCGGGCGCAACATCTGGGGTTAGGGCAAATCCACGGGTTAGGGGGCGCAAATCCACAGGTTAGGGGGTGCAAATCCACGGGTTAGGGGGCGCAAATTACTTGCCTTGCCCCGGGTGCTGACAGCCCACGCTATGCCGCTGGTTACCACTATAAAGTGGAAGCTGCTTGCTCCATTCCATAATTCTGACAGTGACTGCATCCCTTACCCTCTGCTCTGCCTATAGGATGACATATCCATTTGAAATTATGGAGGAAGTAAAGAGGCAGAGTAGTATTCCTTAAGGACATAACTTATTTTTATGTGGTGGTTTATTTAAGGCACTTCCAGGCAGCATAGGTACCAATGTCAGGATACAATGCCTTGAATATGAGGACTGATCTTTTGAATCTTTAATTCGATTACTCAAGCTTAAACAAGTGTTCAGTGATATAACACAGAGCACTACATACCAGTTTAGATATCTTCCAAAGATTACTAATCCCAGTATAGCTGCCTTTGAAAGAGTGGTGTTAAGAGACATATGGAAAATAGAACAATCTTCCAAAAGATGGCATATTTATGTTGGCATGAAAAGGCTGTTTTGGATTCCTTGGCCAACAACTTATAGTTATTAAACCAGCAATAAGGGTTCAGCAGCGGTGATTCGGGGGGGGGGGGGAAGGATTATTGCCTGGACATACACCACCAACGTATTACACATTAGAGCCAGTAATTCATTGGTGTGGAGGAGCCACGTGTTAGAATCACAGCTGTTTCAACTCTGTTCCTATGTAAGACCTCAGTCAAACCTTACTCAGTATATTCATCCTTCTTCTATCAATGGAAAGCTCCTTATTCCTGTACCACAGGTTTGGATTTGAATTCAGAAGATTTTTAAAAATAAGATACTATGTCCTCTTAGAAAACTAAAATTTCCATATTGATAACTTTGTATATCCCAGTGCTAGAAGTTCCATCCTTCTTGGCTGTGCTTAAATGCAGGAATATGTAAGAGAATTTCAAGAGGTATTTTAATCCTATTATTGACTGTGGCCTCATATTGTGCAGTCTAATATTGTTCAATAGGTGATTTTCAATAATATCATTTTAGGATTTATAGCAATGATACTTCTGTCCAAGGAAGAAAAATCTACAAAGAAAAATTGAGACAATAAAGATTTAATAACTGCCTTCCATGCATATTCTCCAGTTGGTGTCTGAAGAAGTACAAAGAGAGGCTTAGTCCTGGAGATCTTGTTCTGTATTGTTTGGAGAATTGTTTTATTGTCTGCATGTGCTGTATTGTTTGGGGAATTGGATTGTTGAATACACAGTGGCTGCAGCTTGTATCTTTTGAATATGTTTATATCAATATGAGTTTTAATTGGGTCCCTGTGACTTGGTATCTTTGTTACCTTATACTGAGTCAGACCATACACGCCCAGTATTGTAGCCCCTGGAAATATTGGTGATTCAACCTGGGGTCTTCCTCAAGCAAGGCAGATGCTATAATTCTGAGTAGCGGTTCATTGTGGACTTGATGCTGCACATTATGCAAGTTCTTCTTTGAACGTGTGTGGATTAAGTTACTGCCTATCATATAATCTATTTACTTATTTAGTTTACATTTACATCCCACCTTTCTCTGGCCCAAGAGCTAGCTTAGGCATTAAAAAAAACTGTGGGGAACTGCAGTCAAACATAACTATGCATAAGTGCTAGTTAGTGCATAAAGGGGTTAAGACCATAGAACTCTGTTCCTAGACTCAGCTAGGTCACATCCTCTCTTCTTCGTGAGGAAATGAATCTTCTCTTCCTGTTCCTCACACACTCTTTCTTCTTGCCATGAAATCCACTAGGCCGGTTGTGTCTGAACAGGATCCAAGTTCAGACTGCAGGTTTGAAACTATGTGCTGCATTTTGTACCCTGTGATCTCCTTGCTGCTGCATGGATTAGCGCATTAACCAGACATTTGGATTTAGTAAGTAAATATTTTAAACTTACTTAAAAGTGTGTGGTCTGTTCATTGCCAGAGGAGTAGAGAGAAAGGGTCAAGAGCTGTAAGGAGACCGGATGTGCAGAAGGGTTTGTTTTATTACATTCTATGCTGCCAGTTAACTCTGAGAGTGTTTTTAACTCTCTCCCACTGGAGGCCCCGTGTTTTGAATCTAAGCGCCCAGCCAATACCTCTGTTAATTATGTTGTGGAGGTGGGGGGATGATTAACAAAACCAATCCTCCTGGCAAACTGGGAATATCCCCTCACTCACCCAAGTTTAGAATATTCCACCATTCTTCAGCAGAGTTTCTTTTTCTTTGAGAAAAATAAGTGACTCACGTAAATGTAAACAAGCTTTAATAATAAACTGAGAGAAAACTGTAAAAAAATAACATAATGAGAGAAACTAAATACAAAAACATGAGGCAAGTCTCAGGCAAGAGGCAAGAAGAGGCAGTTGGTCCCTCTTAACTGACATTCTTAACTGAACACACACTGAAGGGAGGGGCTGATTCTGGAGCATAACCCACAAGCCCCGCCCACCAGATATCAAGCATTCTACTATTCAGATTAGGCCTCAGTATTAATTACTCATGTGTAGGTACGACAGTGCTAGTTCAAGCACGAGGAGCAGAGTCTACCATGACCTTGTGGGGCCACTGTAGAGGTGGCACCTGCTGTCCTCTGAATCAGACTCCACCTTGATTCTGCCTATCAGCCTAAACTCCTCTTGCCATGCCCTGGCACTTCCGCATTTCTTCACTTTCTTCTGCTGCTGCTTTATTTTATTGGTGGTCCTCCAAAATCGGGGGTTTTTGTGTTGTTGTTTTTTGCTATGAAGCAAAGTTCAAAGCTGGGTAATCCTTCAATGAAACTATCTGGCAGATTTCTTAACACTGAGAACAAAATTAAAGTCAACTGTACTTAAATGTGGACTTGGGGACTACTTCATTTCAGTGAAGGCAGCTGAAATGTAAAGGTCCAAAACTGACTCCATAAAGAGGAGTCGGCACGTCCTACAGCCAAGATGACATGGCACAGGCTTTGAGTTTGGCCATTTTCTGATTCTTCTTTTAAGGCAACGTGTGAGTCATAGAAAAGTCAAACCAAATTATGCTTGAATAGCTGAATCAAGAGGTAAAATAACAATATTCAATTAACTTGGATTTACCCCAAGTTGGCTTGGTATGATGCCTTACAGAGAACTTGTGAATCATTAACATTTGAGTGGTGGTGGTTTATGGTGCCTGGAACATTTCTGGAACTGTATAAATGTTAAATAATAGGAACAGCACTGCTTGCAGCAGAGACTGTACAACTGGCTGACCAAAACAACCTGTACGCATTAAAATATGTGAAGGGGTGTGTGTGTAGATATGCGCATGTGCATATCTGGGTGAATTAATAGGGAGTGTGCCTCATAGTCTGGATCAGCTGGGACCAAATCTCTATTCTCTAAGTATACGGTTATAAGATTTATCTGCGTTCCCATTACCAAAACACTCATTACAATAAGCCCCACTCACTTCAGTGGGTCCTACAGTGGGAGACAACAATGAGGTGGCAGAAAGAATTTACAAGGCTGTCCCAAGGCATGTCTACTCAGAAGTAAGTTCCACTATGTTCACGGATTCTGCCAGTCATCTCAGCCAGTGTCATATAGTCCATCACCTTCATCTGCCACTCTTCCAGGGTGGGTAGATCTTGTGTCTTCCAATACTTTGCGATGAGTATTCTTGCTGCTGTTGTAGCATACTGAAATATACTCAGAGTCGCAAGGTGATTTCATGCTCTTTATTCAGCTCATAGTGGTGAGGAGGAATGAATGAATGTCCCCTCAAAGTATCTGCTTTATATACATTATTTACACAATGGGCTGCACATGATTGGCTAATTCCGGAATTCTACTGTAAGCCAATCAGGTTGTGGATTCACTTCTATCTGGAGTATGATTGGGTAGTTCCTGCCAACCAATCATACTGCTGCATTGTTCTAGGACCAATCAGACTGCTGCATTCTGAATCCTATTGTTCTAGGACCAATCAGACTGCTGCCTTTTGGATCCTATTGTTCTAGGACCAATCAGACTGCTGCAGTTTGGATCCTATTCAACTCAGTACATAACACATACATAAAGAAAGTTCTATCTTTCTTTAACACCAATTGGCTGACAATGCCCAGGAGAAAGGCCTCTGGTTTCTTAGGGAAGGTACATGTAAGTACCTTTTTCATTTCATTATATATCATCTCCCAAAAAGCCTTAATCTTTGGGCACGTCCACCAAAGGTGATAGAAAGTACCTTCAGTTTCTTTACATTTCCAACACTTATTATCGGGCAAATGATAGATTTTTGCTAGCTTGACTGGGGTCATGAATCCGTGATCAGGGGAAAGAGACGGCGGAAGAAGATTGGAAGAAATTTAAAATCTATCTTAAGAACTATTATAAAATTGATGAATGCTAAAATGTCGAGGTTTTGAGAAAGAAAAGGAGATTACAGCGACATAAGATTAAGTTAAAGAAAAGAATAAGAAGGAATATATTTGATAAAACTATTTAGAATTTGCTGAAATAATTTTGGAAATTGGGATGTAGGAAGGGGAGGTTTGGGGGAGTCTGAGAAGTGAGGGATACGAAAAAAAATGTTATGAAATTATACATGTTTGTATGTCTTTTTATTTGTTTGTATTGTTTAAAATATTTTGTAAAACTAATAAAAAAAATTTCAAAAAAAAAAAAAAGATAAGTTCCACTATGTTCAGTGGAAACTTACTCTTAGGGGATAGGATTGTAGACTAAAACCAATTAAGGAGTTCACTTGAGGGATAGTTCTCTAAAGAAAAGGCTGCCAGGCCACTGAAATTATATCTCATTACAGGATAAAAAGTATTCTAGCGCAAATTACAGTGAAGCCTGCAAAATAAATATTAAAACACACTTTTATTGCTCTGTGAAAATGGGTTGTTTGCAGTACTATTTTCTATACTCTACCTTTACTTAGCAGCAATTTGGATATGGTGAAGGAAGTATGTATCAGACTGCAAATATATAATAACTGGGAGCTATTAAATTGCCTTTTTGTTCTGAGGTAGCTGACCAGAGTTTGGCCTCTTTGGGGCATCAGTTGCAATCTTTTTTCTGCATCATCACAAAAGCTGAACAAAATAATTTCCAAGCCATTTTCAATTGCATTTTATGTTTCTTCCCATTGCCATGACATTTATTTTTTCACACATGAGATTGTTTGGCTTGTACAAAGGAAATGAATGCTTTTATTCATGGCTCTGTAGTTGAGACCTATGAGACATAGCTCTGCCAAACAAGTTGATATGCATGGTGTTGGTGCGACATCACACTTTGTACCGTTGTGCTGGTGTTGCAGGACACTGGCTGGGATGCTGTGCTCCTGCATTAACAGCAGCTATAGTTGCTGGATGTTACCTGGGACTAAAGAGCCGAAGGAAGGCACATGGTACTTTCTGTCACCAGCCAGGTGTGCTAGGGTCATCAGGAGGTTGCACAAACATAACAGCAAGGGTGAGGCTAACCTGGCATCCTTCAGCCAGAGAAGGAGCTGGAGGGTCTTTGCTTTGCCCCTCTGTGCAAGAAAGAACATTCTGCCCAAACTTCCTGATGCCCAATGACTGTGTTGCAACACTTTCCCTCAGCTATGTGGTTCTCTGGCTCCAGTATCTGACCTACCTGAATTTTCCTGCACCACCTCCTGTCTCTCACTAAGCCCTGAGCTGGGTTTCTGCTAGGTATTCTCAACTCTCTTTATTTTCGCTGCCATCACAGAGATCAAGTATCTGAATGACCCCACCTCTAGGGTAGCCAGTCAAGAGGCCTGTGCGTATGCTGAAACAGTTTAATTGATAACAGAAATAATAAAAGCTTTGATGGTAATTCAGCGCACAGAAGCGTAAGGTTTCAGTTGTACACTTTCTTGGATTTTACCTTGGTTCATATAAAGACTCCTATCTAGTCTACCCTACCAAATATACCTAAGTTAAATCCTCCCTCACCATTTATGCCCAAACCATGACTACCAACAATGCTGACCCCACTCTATCTCACTAACCCTGCCATAACCAACCAAACACCCTCTCCCACATCCAATCACCGTTCACTTCCAACTTTCCAAGTACAGTACTGTTTCTACTCTTTCCAAAGGAACGCTTACCCTACTTCACCTAATATACTTACCTACACATCTAGCAGATACATACCGTATTGGCCCAAATATAAGCCACACCCGAATATAAGCTGCACCTTTAAAATTCAAGGGTGGTGGTGGTAAAAAGACAAAAAGACAATACCCGAATATAAGCCGCTCCCTTAAAATTCCACAGGCACTCACACCCATTTTACTGTATATCTGTTTCAGCAGTGATATTGTAAAAGCCAATTTTTGTAAGGTTGCAAATTTAAGCCGCACTTTAACTTTTCATGGTCGGAATTTGGAAAAAAGTGAGACTTATATTCAGGCCAATAAGGTACTATCCCATATCTGTGTACCTTGATTACTCTAATATTTACACAATATCATTTACACATACCTCAGAACATTGCAGACTGCAAAATTAAAAGGATGTATGCTCCGGGCCCTGTCACTAACCAAGACACCCAGGGCCACTGGAACGCTCACCTCCATGCCTCCTGGAAAGATAATATAGTAGGGAGACCAGTTGGGCCCCATTCATCACCCACCTTATGGGAAAAGGGCATACAAGCAAAAGGAAATAATGAACCCCCTCCTGCACTAAAATCATATGTAACATAAGATCCAGCAAGAAATGGCAATTGCAATGCTTTCCATGCAAGTAGGCACTTCCTTACGGCTGCAATACGTCCAGAATTTCCTAGAGATAGCTAGGATTTGGTCGTCAGAAGCAGTGTCTGGTCAAAAAACGCTGGAGTGTCCTGGAAGTATAGATTTTGGCAATTCCCCGCCTTAAAAAATTGCTCAAAAACTTCTTTTT